AAAAGAAATCCAAAACAAAATGTGTATTAATGTGAACAAGCCTTTCCTGTCATTACAGACTCAAAAAAAAAAAAAAAAGTTTCACAACTGCATTTTGTACATTACACTAAATTATTAGCCTGTTCAAAATACAGAATGGATCCTTATTCTACTTGCTTTCTTAAAAGAAATGAGCTTTACTTCTCGTTCGGTGCCAGTTGCCCCAAAGTGTTGGTCCCTTGACACATTTCTGGCTTATTTTACCGGGTGGGCTGTGAGAGCTGGTGTTATTTTGCAGTTGGTTTATCTAGAGTAGTTTTAGCAGAATTATAAGGAATTCTGACCAATCAAATGCTCTCTAGAATCTGAAGCGCCCGCCCCCTACACTATAAATAGACGCTGAAGCTGCGGCTAAGATCGGTCGCTTGTTCACAGTGTAGTATTTCCTGTACGGTGAATGGCTCGAAGTGCACAATGTAGGTGATAGGGAACGATTCAGACAGTGTAAATATGCTTTCCATTGGTGCAAATGAGGTCTGGTTTTACGTTGCTTCACGCGAACCGCGGCAGCGCACACAGTCTGATTTGGACTTTGGCTCCGGTCCAGAGACCCGATCTCACGGAGCGGATCATATGCGCGAGTCGGCATATATTAAAAACTTTTACAACTACACAGCCTCCGCATGATTGACCACTATTTTGTTTTACGAGTTTCATATTGAATCTAGGGTGTAATCTATTAGACTGTGGCTGTCAAATGCGACTTTACCGAGCTCAACGGCTCTGGCCCGAGCAGATATAAACACAACTCTATTGGCGATTTTAAAAAGGGGGTGGGGCTGCTCGATATGTCCCGCCCTCTCTTCCTGTTTCAGTTGAAATTACGTCACCACATAGAATAATGCTGCGTGTTTCAAGGCACTTCAGGGGACCTTTAAAAAATTGCATTTTCCAGAAAAGATTTATTTACTTAATTAACTGAATTTAAAGGGTTAGTTCACCCAAACATTTAAATTAGCCCATAAATTACTCACCCTCAAGTCATCCTAGGTGTATATGACTTTCTTCTTTCAGA